TTTACGTGCTTGTAAATGACTTCTACAAGAGGTTACTTTACTCTATCCGACTACTGACACTCACAGACGACTCCGGTACGACTCATCTACGACTCTTGTACGACTCCTCTTCTCTGTCTGACAGTGGCTATTTTATGGCAGCAGGACGAGTCCATTATATCCGAAAAGGGTGGACCCCATAACAGTCTGGTAAATCCAGTCTCGAAGTAGGTCTTCCTTAGAGTCTACGTGCTTGTAACTGTGACTTCTATAAGCGGTTACCTCACACTATTACTCTACCTCCAACTCAATCACAATCTCTGCTCTCTCTACTCTGACTGACTCTCGGTATTTAACGGCAGCAGTCCAAGTACACACTGGTAGAGTCCATTTGAATGAAAAAAAGGTGGACCCCATGACAGCCCCCCTCCTTGATCCCTTTGGTGGGGAATAAGCATTTTGTCCCTTATGGTTGATAATCATGAGTTCAACAAATAAATTATCTTCCTTTTTTAGTAACTCATTTAGTGGAGCCCTCAAATGTGTGAGAGTGTGTATGTGTCAGTGTGCATGTGTGAGTTGTTATCCATGTGTGACTGCGTATGTGTGAGTGTGTGTGCGAGTGTGTGTGTATGAGCGTGTGTATGTGTGTAAGTGCATATGTATGAGTGTGTACATCTGTGAATGCATATGTGTGAGTGGGTATATGTGTGTGAGTGTGCATGTGTGTGCGTATGTGTGAGTGTGTATGTGTGTTTAAGTGTGCATGTGTGTGAGAATGTGTATGCGTAAGTGTGTATGTGTCAGTGGTTTTCTACGTGTGTGAGTGCGTATGTGTGAGTGCGTGTGTGTGAGAGTGTGTATATGTGTAAGTGCATATGTATGAGTATGTACATCTATGAATGCTTATGTGTGAGTGTGTATGTGTGTAAGTGCATATATATGAATGCATACGTGTATGAGTGTATATGAGTGAGTGTGTATGTGTTAGTGTGTATGTGTGTGAGTGTGGATGTGTGTATATGTGTGACTATGTGTGAGTGGTATAGTGTGTGTGTCTGTGAGTGTGTATTTGTGTGTATGTATGCGTGAGTGTGTATATGTGTTTTTGTTCACAGTTGTGGAGTCAGAGACAAAAAGTAAACAAAATTTGTTGTGGGTTCCCTAAATCCACTTGTTAAAAGGATTATCTAGTTGATCACTTCAACAAGACTCTAAAGAATTTACACGTCAAAAGACGCAGCCAAAGGAACACTAATACTTATTACGGCTTTTTGAACTGTCATAGCTGAAACTCCTCTCTCTTATGAATTTAGATTTATAATTTCTTTTCTAATTTGATCTCTTTAGCTCTAAGTTGAAATGATGATCCGTCTTCCTGTTTTGACTTCCTGATCAACTTTTCATCGTTACTGTTCCCTCTTTTTTAAAAAAATATTCAACGTTCTGATGATTCCTGAGTGGACTTTCAAGGTGGAAGCCAGAGTATAAATGTTGGTAACATTACAGAAGCTCTGAATGATCTTTTTTCCTCTGACCATTGCTCAGTTGAGAAAACATAGTAGGGCTGACACAAAACTATTTGAACCTATTCTTTTTACAGCTGAATAACTCAAAGGGTTTCCAAAGATATTTTTACGAAAAATGGTGTCAAGATGGCTAAACGTCTTATCTAAAAACCTGAAAAAAAGAAACTCAATCAGCTTAGACTTTTTTTAAATATTGAACATTTTATGGGATTAACAATTATCGCATAATATTAGATGATTTGAACAATTTTACTGTTTCGTCTGGTATACATTGTTTACACTTGGACTATTGTCTTGTAATTAATGCCATTATCCCAACCATTCGGTCGACCCGCTGCGATTTTCGATATTAACACTTTATTTAATATCCAGCGATAGAGTATTCTAGATCCGTTGACCAAGTCGACGGAAATCTTTTTGTCATCAGCTGCAATAACCAAGATAAATTGCCATAATTAATAACTGTATTCTTTGATTGATTCGTTTTTACGACTTATCAACCCTTTGTAGTTTATTTAAAGACAGAATATATATTTTTTTAGATATTAAGAATTTTGGGGGAGATACTAATGATTTAGTGATAGAAGTCATACTAATTAACCCATATCTTGGAGGAGATAAGGTGGATTCATATCTTTCCCACGGCTAATTGCGCACAAGTGAATATACTTAACCCGACTGGAATTGGATCTCGGATTCTTGATTAAAAATTCCAAGCCATTATACAATACACCAGCCGCACATCCACGCTTAAAGCAATTGGTATACCCAAGCGACCACTCATCTAGATATTGTCCAGTCTCGATATTGCTTAACTTCGGTGATCGTACGGAACTTAATATAACCGTATGTCCCGGCTGATGTAAATTTAAGCTGTATTCCAAGTGGCTATACTTAACAACCCACACTAAGAATTAACCATGTTATGTTTTATCTATCATTTTTTGTGAATGAGATTTGAAACAATTTTCAGGGCTCGATTTTCAACTAAACCAGTTCATTAAAGTTGAAACTAATGTCTTTAAGAAAAGCATGCATATATTTCACCCTCGGTCTGCCATATTATCTTATCAAAATGTTCCCTTACTGATGTATCACGATCAGACTGGCTGAGTGATCCCGTAGTTAAAAGACTCTTCCGGATGACGACTTGTGTAGTCAGAAATAGTAAAAGGCTGTTACACGTATTTTAAGACTTGACAAAGTACACTAAAAAAATTAAACTGCTAATTCATTCGTTCTTTATGTGTTTAAGTACTTATGAAAATCCCACAGATACTGTGAAAGTTATGTGCAAATTCCCCTCAGATCCACGTCTTAATGGCTGGTGTTTCCAAGCCCATACAGAGACGGGTGGTAGGACCTATTAGTGTTCCATCTATGGGCAAATATTTGACCCTCAAACTGGGGTCAAAACACGATGAATGTGTTAAATTAGGTTTTAGTACCAGAAATACATTGTAAAACATTATTAAAAACAATACATTTTTGAAGAAAAACATATTATCAGCAATACAATTAAAAAAAAAACACAAAAAAATACATATTACCAGCAATACATTTTTAAAAAAAATATTACCAGCTATATATTTTTGAAAAAAAATTACCAGCAATAAATTTTTTGTCGGCATTAAATAACCCACTGAGTTTGATATGCCGTAAAACAAATCAACCCAAAAACTCTTAATAGATTTCCCCCAAAATATATATTGATTCAGTTTAAAGTACTCTGACATGAGAACACCAAAAAAAACATGAATCTACTTCCCTTCATTTTGTAGTGCTCATAAGTGATGAACATGGAGTCTTAAACCTAACCTGCCTGCTGATGGGTGTTTATCTGACAGCCACATTTTATTGAATTCAACAAGTCTTCTGTTTCCTATAGCCGCTTCTGTTGCTGCTATTGAGGCCTTACTGTCTTTTCTTTCTTTTAACGGCTACCATATAAGGTTTCTGATTTATGCTAGACGGCATAGTGGGGCTTCATAGCATAGCATATTTCATTATCATTCTCCCCCAAGCAAGACAATAAAACCACTAAGACGTAAGTGTTATTGAGTATATGAATATGATATGAATAATATGAAAAAGAGGAAAATCTTATGAGAGCGAGAGAGAGCGAGAGAGAGAGAGCAATAAAAGAACAAGAACTAAGAAGACAGAAGATAAAGATTGATATTGCGTTTACATTTTTTAAAGATCAAAGGCAATAAAGCCACTAGGATGCAAAGGGGTTACTGAGTGTTAGAGAATATGAGAAAAGTACTATTAATGAGAGAAGACAATAAAAGAACTGGAATTAAGAAGACAGAAGATAAAGATTGATATTGCGTTTACATTTTTTGAAGATCAAAGGCAATAAAGCCACTAGGATGCAAGGGGTTACTGAGTGTTAGAGAATATGAGAAATACTAATATTAAGGAGGGAGGACAATAAAAGAACTGGAATTAAGAAGAAAGAATGTAACGATTGACATT